TTTTTTCTTGGTTTCCCAGGGTCTCATGTACGTATTTACTCAATTCTTCAAACTTTTTGTTATACTTCTCATCCATTTCTATAAAGGTGTTTTTTACATATTGTTTAAGGGACTCTATTGCTTTCATAAAGTCGATTTTTTCCACTTCTTCTGTGTTAGGGTGTTCAAGTCCTTCTGTTGTAAGATCATTGGGTTCTGGTGCTTTCATGTTGTTTTTCAGCTTATTGGGAGAATTTTTGCCTTGGCGCCTGCCCATCTCCTCCTATTGACGATCTCTAATTGGTCTTTTAAAACCAGATCAGGTTTCCCTGCTGGCCAGAGGCTCCTCTTGCAAAATTCCCTCGTTCTGTTTCCTGGCTCCTGCCAGGGGCCAAGATCCCTCTCACCCCTCAGACGGGTCTTCAGGAAAAGAACCAGGTTCCCTGTTTGCCCGGGACCTCGCCAACCAAAGGCCTACCTCTTTGATTTAATTGTCCTGGGGCGATCTGCTCTTGGTGTTGCCCTGGTCCCTGTCGCCTGCGTTGTCTGCCACTGTGTCAGTACCCGCCGGTCCCGGCCGCTGCGCCAGCTACGTCGCCCGCCGTGCGCGTCCGGTTCCGCTTCTTTTATCATCTTATTAAATATCTGGCCTATGACATTGACTGCCCTAGGATTCTTCTCTCCCTCCTATTTCTATAATTCAAAGATTTAGTCTTTTGATAGTGTCCCACACATTTCATATGTTCACTTTCCATGTTTATTAATTTTTTTTTACTTTCTTTGTTTCTTTTGGGTATAGATTCTTTTATTTTCTAGTACAGATATCTACTTATCTTCTGGTTGATTCATTCTACTGGTACTACTTGTAAGACTTTCCCTGAGTTTTCTAACTGGCATATTGAGTTTTTCAATTGTATCTTCATTTCAGCTTGTGTTCTCATCAATGTTCATATCTCTTTATTCAGTTTCAGTTCTCAAATATTTTTATTTCATTCAGCTGTGTGTATTTTCTTGAACAGCACTCAACTGTTTATTGTTATCTTCTTAGAATTCAATAAAGTATTTATATCTTCTTTAAATCCTTGAATTCTTTGATAAACTTTATGATTTTTTTTTTTAAATCCTTATGGGAGAATACTTCTGAAACTGGTGGGTTTATGGGAGCGATTATTTTGGCCAATCATGCTGTTTTTGTTTTTGCCATTTGACCTGGGTATATGGACTCCCTTTGTTGGTTGTGTGTCTGATGAAATAATCTGGCTTTTCTTAGACTGGGCCATGTGGCAGATGTACAGTCAGAACTGAGCCAAGTAAGCTGGTGGGCGAGCTCTTTACCTAGACCAGGGAAAGATGGCTCCCAACCCACAGGACTGGGGCTAGCCAGGCAGAGGGAATTCTTCATTGAAAAGGGTTCACACCCACAGGCTTAGAACTAAATTTGTGGGTTTGCAGGTGTGTTAGAGATGCCCAATTTCTTGACATGCTGTCTCTTCCTAATTAAGTTACCCTTCAAATAGGTATGAAAATGCCCGCTACTGTGTATATCTTTTCGTATGTTTCATATTTCTTGTTAAGATATGGTTTATTTTGTAGGCTGGACTCGTGGTAAAGCTGCTAATGAAGTTAAATGGACAACTAATGCCCTCTGAGAGAAATTCATGAAACAAACAGCTGGTTCTCAAGCCACCATATTTTGTAATGCAGAGTTTTTTTACATGAAAGATTTCTTAAACTGTGACTTAACACAGACGTGTAGTCTCTTGTAGTATACATGTATATGTTGTTATATATGCTGTACAGAATCTGTACTCATGCTTGTGTAATATACCACTGTTTTGTATGATATGCTCATAGACTCTTGATTTTTGAGAGAAACACATAAAAAGAGAGATAGACGGTCTGTATTATATTAGACAAAATAGTAAGCTTTATAAAAAGTTATTTTTGGTAAATAGTAAAGAATTTAGTGTAGAATGTGATGAAATTAAAATATAGCTTTGATATAATTTTGTGTGTCACTTCAGAATATACTAAAAATCAACATGATTTGGATAAACATGTATTTTGTACTCAGATCTCTTACTTAAAACATTTCTTCTGTAGTCTATAAACATGCCCCAAGGTGTTTTTAAACTTTCAGTAAAGATATATGTATCACAAGATAGCTTTCCTTGAAGGTGTTGTGGCATCAGTTTTGGGTGTTTTAACAGTGATGATTCCAGACAATGGACTGGGAATAAATAAATTTAAATTTTAAATCTCAGATTTAATAAGGACTTTATATTGATAAATTAGACCACTGGTTGCCATGCAGACACACATATATACACGTATGCAGTGTAACAATTTCTAGATGTCAGTAGTTGAACCTGTTAAATGTATGCTGTATTTTTGTGTATTGATTTAATACTCATTTGTATTGCCTTTGCATTATAGGAGGCCGTACCACATGTTTGATTGTTTTATTTAGTGGAGCATTAGTGTCACAAATGAGCAGTAGACCTGGCTAATGTACTCTTTAATGTGCTCTGTATTGTAGTCTTCCTGACCCAGTAGAGCAGTGTATTCCAGTTTCAGAGATGTATAAAGTTGTCATAAAGTTGTCCTACAAGTTGCAGATAATTTTGGTATGTCATTTTCTACTCTTCATGTTAACTCTTTATTCTAAATGATACTGTGTGTAAACCTTATTAAAATTAATAAGGTTCATAAGAAAGCCTTTTGTTCTGTGCTTGGTACTTTCGATTCTGTATACACAGTTCCCTGGATAGTTTCATTCATTTGTAGGTGTGCTCTCGAATCTCAGACCTAAAACTTGAGCCTCATTCTCTGTCTGAATTCTAGATCTTAATTATAAGTTCTTGTTCCTATAATTCTACTTACATAACCTATAAGCAATTTTGTTTCCATCATTCTTCCTCCTCTTCCACTGTTATTTGGTTAATGGTGTTGTCAGATTACACTCGTTTACATAGCCTTGAAGTCTTAGAGTAGTCTTAACTTTTCTTCTTTCCTCCTTCCTTACGGTATACATTCTGTTGATCACATGCAAGCTAATGTCTTATGAGTCCTTTCCCATCCTCTTTCTGCTTGTACTGCAGCCACCAGAGCTGAAGTCCTTGCCATTGTTTCCTTTGCTGATAGCCTGATACAGGCTCTACACTGCCCCTCTGCCACACAATGCCAAGTTTATCTTACCAGTCTGATCACTGTGGATTGTATTAAAGTGCATGATTAGTCTATTAGGGTTCTCTAGAACCAAACTGATAGAATGAGTATGTAAATCATAGTATCTAAATTACAAAGGGGTTTATAAACAGTTTATAAACAGTTTATGCTATAAGAGTTGGGTAATCTAACAATCTAACAGTGGCTGTGTGCATACTGGAAGGGCTGAAAACCCAGTAGCTGCATAGTCTGTGAAGTTGGATCCCTCAGCAGCCCAAAAATAGTGATGGAGGCCTAGAGGACTCCTAAAGCACTGCTGGTCCTTATTCCAAGTTGAAAAGCTTAAGGAACTGGGTTCTGATATCAGTGGGTCGTTTGTTCATTCCCAGCTACTCAGCCCTGAAATAGTCACACAGAAATCTGTATCAGTTCCAATACTGTTTGGCCAATAACTTAAGCATATCTCTGGCTTACTAACCCATCTCCATTAATCAGTGTTTTGCCACATGACTGTGGCTTATCAGGTAAAGTTCATCCAGCATCTGTCTCCTGCAGGGTTACGTGGCTTCTCCTTTTTTTTCTCCCAGCATTCAGTTTAGTTTTCCTCACCTAACTATTCTGCCCTGTGCAGGCCCAGGACAGCTTCTTTATTCATTAACCAATAAATAACAAGTAGGGGCTGGAGAGATGGCTCAGAGGTTAAGAGCATTGCCTACTCTTCCAAAGGTCCTGAGTTCAAATCCCAGCAACCACATGGTGGCTCACAACCATCTGTAATAAGATCTAGTGCCCTCTTCTGGCATACACACACACACACACACACACACACACACACACACACACACCAATTAGCAATCAAGAAAATGTCCCACAGACCACTTTGTGGAAGTCTGTTCTTCAATTGAGGTTCCCTCTTGCTGCCTATGTCAAGCTGCCAACCAAGATTAGCTGCCACAAATCTAAACATAGATGTTTAGAAGGCAGTTTAACACCATGTCAATTTGGGTAAACAAAAGTAGTAAGTTATCTCTCCCTAGAGCCTACAGCCCTCCCAACCATGAATTTTAAACTGGAGTTACAGTACTAGGCATGGATTCCTTTCTGTGGAGCAGACCTTAAATCCAACCAGAGTGGTTTATTGCACCATTCACAGTCATTGCCACTCATGGATTAGTATTTAGTGGATTGGTATTTAGTTAATGGGGTTTATAGCTGGAATTGTCCATTGATACTTTTTTACCCCTGTATAGAACCTGGCATCATTATGAAAGCAAACCAGCAAGAAGGAAGCATTCAGCTTGACGTCTGTCTTGCAACCACGTTGTGTTGGCCTACATAACCAAGGTGTGTAAGACCCTGTCTGGTGGACAGGCAAGAAGTATGACAGCAGCCTGCATTGTTTGGGAGTCATTCGGGACCCCCTGCCCAACAATTCAAAGGGAGCTCTCACAGCTGGCACTGGCATTTATGGTTAATAGCCAGTGGCTTCTAGGAACAGCAGCATCCAGCCTAACGGCATCTTCTCACAACTGATATTTTTACTTAAATATTTTAATTAGCTTACAAAGTAGCATTTTTATACATACTTTATTTTGGTTAACCCTCCCCATGTTCCTCTGCTTCCACCCGTCTTCCCTGTTTTAAGTTTTTCATCCTTTTTACTTTGATATCACCCTTTTCAACTGTTCCTTTCCAGTTTCCTGGCTTCTACAGGCATTCCAAGTTAAACATAGTTCAGGGGAAGCACTATGGCACAGAGGCTGAGAGGATTCAGAATTGTCAAAAATGGCTTCAGGATTGTCTTAAAGTCTTACAAGTGGAGAGTAGGCAGCTTGATTTTAATAGAATTGCCTTGGTTTTTCTCCATTGAGTATTGTGTTTGCTATGAGTCATTTATAGCTTTCATCCTATATAGGATTATATAATATGGGGAATTCCCCCTCTAATGCTATTATCTCTATGGGTTTTATCAAATGATACATTTTCACTAGGAACCATATTTACTCATAACTACCCAAATATCCTTTAGTTGGTGAATGAGCAAACTCAGATATACCCATACAATGGAATACTACTCAAAAAGAAATAAACCGTTGAACAACACAAAGTTCCAATACACTAACTGAACAAGCCAGACTCAGACAATATAGTATTGCTTTTAGAGAACATTCTGAGAAAGATAAAACTACAAGGCAGAAGGCATAGCAGTTACGGACGGGTGTGGGAGAACATGGGGACATAAAGGGAAGTGTGAAGGATTTGAGGGAAAGTGAAGATTATTCTGGTGATTAAAATAGTGTATTATCAAAATTCAGATTGGATCACAGATAATCTAACTACACATAAATTTAAAACACAATTTTTAAGAGAAGCAATTTTGTACAAGTTAAAAAAACTTTTTTAAAAAATACAAAGGTTTCTCAGCAGCCCTCATTGTCCGCCATATTCAGAGAGTCCGGTTTTATCCCATGGTTTTTCAGTCGTAGTCCAGCTGGCCTTGGTGAGCTCACAATAGATCAGCCCCACTGTCTCCGTGGGTGGGTGCACCCCTCGTGGTCCTGACTTCTTTGCTCATATTTTCCCTCCTTCTGCTCCTCCTTGGGACATTGGGAGCTCAGTCCAGTGCTCCAGTGTGGGTCTCTGTCTCTATCTCCATCCATCTCCAGATGAAGGTTCTATGGTGATATGCAAGATATTAATAAGTATGGCTATAGGATAGGGGAAGCCAAGGACAATGCCACTGGGTTTTGATCCTACTTCATGTTCTGGATTTGTGGGAGCCTAACCAGTTTGGATGTCCACCTTCCTAGACCAAGATGGAGCGGGGAGGACTTTGGACTTTCCACAGGGCAGGGAACCCTGACTGCCCCTCAGACTGGAGAGGGAGGGGGAGAGGAGAGGGAGGAGGGGGGAAAAGGGAGACTGGGAGGGAAATGGGAGGCGGGGAGGAGGCGGAAATCTTTTTTTTTTTCAATAAAAAAATTATATTTAAAAAAAATACAAAGGTTTAATAGAAATATGTAAGTCCCCAAATTCCACTTAGTCAAAGAAAATTATTAGATAAGTTATGTACTATCCCAACGCTCAGCTCAGACCACCTAAATCAGATTACTAGCGGCAGGGGACAGTCAAGCAGCAAACAGCCCATAAAGGCAGGAGGCAGTCACTGGGGAGCTGAATGACAGCAGGGCCCTCCCTTCTGGTCGCTTTGTGCGACCACGGACAGCTCACAAACGTTTGAGGGAGACGGGACACGCTGAGCCTGCGCTGCCTCCGTCGCCACAATCGCAGACGTTCGCTGCGTGTAAGCGCGGCCCCTGTCGACCCTGGTGCATAGGCGGGGCACCTGTCGACCCTGGTGCAGGCGGGGCACTTATCTAGGAGCCTTAGGCCAAGGCCAGGTTCGATTCCTGTCTCCACCCACAGCGACATTTGCGGCCCCGAACATCCTCCTCCCTTCACGATCCCAGCCTGCCGCTTCTAGTGTTTGCATTCTGTCCCAGGCTGCTTTAGCCGCCGCTCAGTGCTCCTCTTCTCACACCCGTGGAAGCAACTGTTGATGTCGCTTTCTGTGACAAAGTCCTGTGGTCACCTGAATGTCCACATCTTTCAGGTAGGTAACAATTCTCTTGTATCTTTAACTTTACTAATACTTGTTCAAACAGTTTGGATTCGTGTTTGCTTATCTAAATGGCAATGTGTTTTAAAATAGAACTTAATGCTCACGGGAGTAGAGATTTTCTCAAATACATTTTTAGAATTTTATTTAGCTGTATATTTCAGCTTTTACAACCTTTGTGGAAAAGAGTACAGGTGCAGAAAGGGAGGAGCTCAGGACAACCTTTGTGGAAAAGAGTACAGGTGCAGAAAGGGAGGAGCTCAGGACAACCTTTGTGGAAAAGAGTACAGGTGCAGAAAGGGAGGAGCTCAGGACAACCTTTGTGGAAAAGAGTACAGGTGCAGAAAGGGAGGAGCTCAGGACAACCTTTGTGGAAAAGAGTACAGGTGCAGAAAGGGAGGAGCTCAGGACAACCTTTGTGGAAAAGAGTACAGGTGCAGAAAGGGAGGAGCTCAGGACAACCTTTGTGGAAAAGAGTACAGGTGCAGAAAGGGAGGAGCTCAGGACAACCTTTGTGGAAAAGAGTACAGGTGCAGAAAGGGAGGAGCTCAGGACAACCTTTGTGGAAAAGAGTACAGGTGCAGAAAGGGAGGAGCTCAGGACAACCTTTGTGGAAAAGAGTACAGGTGCAGAAAGGGAGGAGCTCAGGACAACCTTTGTGGAAAAGAGTACAGGTGCAGAAAGGGAGGAGCTCAGGACAACCTTTGTGGAAAAGAGTACAGGTGCAGAAAGGGAGGAGCTCAGGACAACCTTTGTGGAAAAGAGTACAGGTGCAGAAAGGGAGGAGCTCAGGACAACCTTTGTGGAAAAGAGTACAGGTGCAGAAAGGGAGGAGCTCAGGACAACCTTTGTGGAAAAGAGTACAGGTGCAGAAAGGGAGGAGCTCAGGACAACCTTTGTGGAAAAGAGTACAGGTGCAGAAAGGGAGG